AGAGAAAAAATGACTTGGAAAGGACCTTAAAAAGTGAAAAGGCTTAATCAGGAAAATTAATATTATCCAGTAGCTAGGTTTTAGTAAGTGCTCAATAATTATACGCCATTAGGAAAAAAGTGGGAGATGCAGGGAGTATGAATTAAGGGAAGAATAAATCCAATAGCCATTTAAAATAATCAGCCATTTTACTTGTGAAATGACTGTAATATAATTATATTTTTCCTGGAACTAATGATGTACTGTTTGATTAAAAAAAAAAACCTGTTAGTTTGACTATGCACAATGGAATAAGACCATTTATATTATAACAAATGCAAATCCTACCGGTAAACAACTTCACTGATATTTTAGTTCATGGTATATCAGGAAAGGACTAAAAGATGGTAAATTCATCTATAATCTTAAGATAGTTATCTTCAGTTCTCTTCTGTTTTACACTTATGTTTTAAAATCATCCTATTGGAAATGTAAGGTTGTGTCTTAATTGTTTGTTCCAAGATAGAACGAAGACACACTTCAGAAGACAGATTACAGATAGTTCAACAAATAGCAGAGGTTGTGGATACATTTTGAGGTTGCTTGTGGACTGTTAATCTTATTTCAAAGTCTTTCAATGGGCAACTTATGAAAATACATCCTACCTTTTTTGAGCCTGAGCACAACCAACCCAATCAGAGGGGTAGGGCCTGCTGCTCCAGGAATAAAGAGGGAGACAGCATGTCTGATCCCAGTGCTTGCTTGCCAGATTTTTGGCTGATGGCACTCCTTTCTGCAGAGTAAACTTTGCCTTTGCTGAGTTAAAAACAAATGATCCTATTGGGCCAACCAACATTTTTACAAATTGCAAATGCCTACTAATTAACGTCAAGTGAGAGAAGTTCCTTAAAACCACACGTTTTTATTACAGTGCTCTTTTGCTGTTCAAACCTTGCAATATTTTCAGTGATCGTCAAGTGTCGAGTGTGACTGAATGCCAATGCATAAAAATTCAGTTTCAATAATGCAAATTTCCTTCTGATTAACACCGGTAAAGTTTGCTCAGTCCCTTAACTCATTCTACTAAGCATTAGGATAATTCATGTGAGGTACATTTGGGAAGGAAAGGCAAAAATGTCGGCTTATTCTTGCCTCTCCATGCAGATACTGCTTTCTGATCATCAAAAAACCTCCCTTATCCTGGAACTGAAACTTAAAACAGACTCCACCAAAGGAGGGTGTACTTGCTCATGTTGTACAAGATGGATTAAAAGCCTGTTCAGAAGTCACTAAGAAGGCTTCTTAAATCACCCTTCATCATTGTGATCACTAGTCACACATGACACTTGAAATCCAGAAAGTGTTGCTTTTTCTTCCATTATTATTTTTGTTGTTGTTGTCAATTTAAAGCTCTTAAAGAAAACTTAGTAACATTTTGTAGGGCTGTAGGGATGAGCATTTCTGGTGTGCAGACAAGAAGACTTTGGTGTGTATTGTGTGTTTTAATCCTGGATTCTTCTCTAATTTTATTTTATTATAAAGGTGCTATACAGAGGGGTTACAGTTACACGAGTAAGGTAATGGTACATTTCTTGTGATGCCTTGTAACACCCTCCTTTGTTTTTCTCCTACTATCTCTTCCCCTGGATTCTTTTTGCTTCTACTGTTACATTAAGAATAGATAATAGATGGTTCTAGTAAGACTGAGATTTGACAGAGCAATTTGTAGGAAGGTGATCTGCTGAACTCTGCCTTGAATCCCTACCAAATCTTCATGAGGGCACACTCTGCCTTGTCCAGCTGTAAACAAAGGAGCCTTTGTTTAGCACCTATTGCAGGTGCAACAACTATAAGGTCACTGATCATATGGTCCATTCCCTGTCTTTGTTGGTTGGGAAACCTGAGACAGCATTTACAGCACAGAATGGTGACTGATCAAGTGATCTCTTCTGTTTGGTTGTTTTATGGCCTGATGTTTAAACCTTGTAAGTTTCACTTTGATTTAATTCCTGAATTTACCTTAGTGTGAATGGCAAACATTTGGAATTAAAATAGCAATAAGCATCCTGGGAAATTTCAGAAAAAAAACAGTCAATAAATTAATGCATTTGACAAGCCCTCCAGAAAAGTTGAGAGACAAAACATCCACCATTTAATCGTGATTTTGATACAGAGACCTGACAATAATATTCTGGCTCTGAGGAAGATTTTTCTGAAACTTATCATCTTGCATTATATATATCCACGTGACTCCTTACCTTCTAGATGAGCTTTTTTTCCTCCTTTCAGTTCTTTTTCAAAATAAGAAAGTTTACATTATAAAATTGCAAGCATAGAAGCAGGCATGAGAAGTTGAATTAAAACTCAGGTACAGAACCAAATTAAATATTATAGCTAGACATTTTTCCTAAACAAATTTATCACAAAATATATGATAGAAGATATTGTTCTAAACTACAAATGCATACTATGGTAAGCCCCTGAAATGGAGTATGGGGTAAAAGAGGAAGTTTAAGAAACCCAGTGCATAAAACTTTTTTAAAAACTTCCTTGAGAGGATATAATAATTCCAGGTCCTCTTAAGGATTGAACAAAGGATCAATATTAAAAGCAAAATAAAGATTAAAGGGGGCCGGGAAGGTGGCTCAGTGGTACAGAGCTTGCCTTGCATGCATGAGGCCCTGGGTTCGATTCCTCAGCACCACATAAGCAAAAAGAAAAAAAAAGCCAGAAGTAGCACTGTGGCTCAAGTGGTAGAGCGCTAGCCTTGAGCTGAAGAGCTGAGGGACAGCGCCCAGGCCCAGAGTTCAGGCCCCAGGACCGGACCCAAAATAAAATAAAATAAAATAAAGATTAAAAATGGTGCATACAAAGTTTCACATGAGTTAATTCCTTTTTTGGAAAGGCCTCACCTCTTCCACTTCTCTATGGAACTTTTGTTTTCTTTTGTAGTCCTGTTGTAGGACTGTTATATAGGAATTCAATTATGAGATACAGAAAAGCCACATTTTGAGAGGTTGAATCAAGAGTCTTTATTAGAAAGTCGGTGACTGTGGGCAGACATGTGTCCCCCGAAAACTTGCAGCCTCCAATGCACTTAATACCATTAGGAACCGTAAGGGGATAGTAAAGAAAGAACAGAAAACAATCTCAACAAACCAGATCAACTCTACTGGAGAGATGAAGTGGAATGCCATGGTGGCGGGAGGAGAGTCAGAAGACACGAGGCATGGTGCAAGGGTGGCAGGGATGGAGAGGCCTAAATAGAGCTGGGTTAGGGGGCAGGGTCCCATGGAGCTTGAGAGTTCAGAGTATTGCGCGTTCAGGGTACAGGCCTGGCAGGTCTGGGAACCTATTGTCCAAGTCCCTACTCCTGTTTCTAGGAATTCAGGCTCTATTGCCTGGGATTGGGATAGGGGAATGGAAGTTTACCTCTAGGGTTTTTGGAAATTCCCCATCATCCACCAAGATCCCAAGATGGAGTCACTTGGACCCAGTATCCATATTTCAATACCGGGGTTTGAACTCAGGACCTTGTATTTGTCAAGCAGGTGCTCTGTCACCGGAACCATGACCAAACCTTTAAGTATTAGGTAATTTTAAATAGGCTTTCATGCTTTTCCCTGGGTTGATATCAGACTGTGATCTTATTATTTATATTATCCACATAGATTAGATAACAGGCATGTGGGACCACAGGAGCTATTTGTTAAGATAAGAATGTGTGTGTGGGGGGGAGAGTCTTCCTAACTTTTTACCAAGATTGGTCTAGAACTTTCATCTCCTGAATAGCTGGGATCACAAATGTGGACTGCTTTGCCAGACTAGAACTTTTTCTGTTGGAATAAATAGAACAATGTAATTGATAAGATAGTATCCTTTCCTTTGGCTATACTTAGTTTGGTGCCAAACTTAAAGCCTACAAAATGCTATACTTTTCATTTTTCAAAGTTTTTTTCATGTGTCTGTGACTACAGTTCATATGTTCCTCAATCATATTTTGTTTTTTTATTTCACGTGTATGTGTTACTGGGATTTGAATTCAGGGCCCGTGTTTACTAGACAGGTGCTGTACCACTTGATCCACTCCTACCACTGGCCTTTTGAGCTTTAGTTCTTTTCAGATACAGTCTTGTACTTTTCGGCTGTGGCTGGTCTTAGACAACAATCCCCTTCCCCTCCTCCCCTCATTTCTGTCTTCTCTGTAACACCATGCGTAGGCCTGGCCTTTATTTCACTTTTATCTGTTGTCTTTAAATAAGTTTCAATCCTTTGTTGAATTACACACACACACACACACACACAGAGAAGAAGGGAAGAGAAAAGGCAAGGAAAGAGGAAGTCAGAATAATTTTCCTCATAATGGAGTAGGGTTTGAAATGACCTGTCTAATGTATATTAAAGGTCTCATTACTACAAACAACATAGGCATTTACCAATATTGGAAAGGCATAAAAACAGAAAAAAGAATGTAAAGTTAATGTTCTTTTAAAAGAACAAATGTCTGGGTTCTGGTGGTTCATGGCTGTAGTCTTAGCTACTCAGGAGGCTGAGACCTGAGGATTGCGGTTCGAAGCCAGCCTGGGCAAGAAAGCTTGCCAATTAGCTACTAAAAAAGGAAAACACCTGTTGGGTAATCCCTCTCCTGCCCCCTTGTGTGGGCAGTAGAAAGCTCTGCTGACTCAAAAGCCCTTTATCATGTATTACTCACGTTGAATGCTAACAAACACCCTGGTAAATAGCTCACCTGGATGGTTATTATTTCAACTGAAGAATGAAAGCTCAAGTGTCTTTGAATCACTTAACCATAATGTTTTAATGAATAAAACCTGAGAGTAGTAGTAACCTATTAACATGTGAGAAGTGAGCAGGTTATTGAACCCAGTTCTTCATCTGTAAAATGATCTTGAGTACTGTGAGGCTTTTGCTTTGTTTTGTTTCTCTCCTGGAATCTTGTACTTTGTACTAATCCCTAAAGTTTAATTCAACTCCATCTGATGCCCTTCACTGGAATTTGAGTCTCCAGCTCACAATCTTCACTCCCACCACAGGACAGCAAAGTACCACTTGGTCTTCTCGCCACAGTCCCCATGTTTCAGCTCACTACTCCAGAAAGTGCCCTGGCAGATGAGCCCTTGACCATCCAAGTGACAGGTTTGCCTCCATCCCAAGTGGTGACCCTCAGGGCCTCACTGACTGATGAGAAGGGGAATTTGTTTCAGTCAAGAGCCTTCTACAGGGCCTTCTACGAGGCTGGCCAAATAGACCTGGAGTGAATTCCATCTTTGGGAGGTGACTATGTAGGCATCCATCCAATGGGCCTCTTCTGGTCTCTGAAACCTAAGAGGCATTTCAGGAGGTTACTCAAGGAGGACATGATGAACAGCACCTTTTGGGTTACTTTGGACCTGTATGATTCCATGTGCAGTGCTGGTTCTCAGCCCAGGGGTAGAACGAAAGCAGAACCGAGAAGGTCGAGTCTGTGGACCCCGTTTCTCCCTCCAGGTAAGACTACACTAGTATTGAGTGATATAGAATACATTGTTGATAGAAATAAAAATGTGGGGCTGGGAAGGTGGCTCAGTGGTAGAGCGCTTGCCTTGCATGCATGAGGCCCTGGGTTCGGTTCCCCAGCACCACATAAGAAAAAATTTTTAAAAAGCCGGAAGTGGCGCTGTGGCTCAGTCGGTAGAGCACTAGCCTTGAGCTGAAGAGCTGAGGGACAGCACACAGGCCCAGAGTTCAGGCCCCACAACCACACCCCCCCCCCAAAAAAAAAAGAAATAAAAATGCATGTTTATGCCCATTTGGATGAAATTAATTTTGCGTTATCAAGAGTTTCGGGACAAAAACTTCTCCTTGGATAGATCCAACAAACAAGGGTCACCTGCCCCTCTCTTGATCTAGGGCCTTGTCTCAAGAAGAAAGTTAACATGGCCTGGGCTAGGGAGAGGTTGTGTCTACCCTTGTTGCAAAATGTTTGTCCATTAGACCTGGTGACTGCAGAAGAGGATAGCTCAGAGCAAAGAGACACATACAGAAACAGGTTTGCATATTGGGGGAGGGGGGAGGTTGTGTGTGTGTGTGTGTGTGTGTGTGTGTGTGTGTGTGTGTGTGTGTATACTGGTACTTGAGCTCAGGGTCTCTCATTCTTGCTTGGCCTTTTCTTCCAAGGCTGGCACTCTACAACTGAGCCATATCTCCACTTCTAGCTTTTTGCTGGTTAATCGGAGATGAGGGTCTCATGGATTTTTCTACTTGAGAGAGCTTTGCACTTGAACCACCAGCACCCAGCACATCCTGCATTGTGTTGCTTGTGGGTCCAACTGAGGAGTTTCTAAGTGTTTTAGAAAATAAAAGCAGTTTCTAAGTGTTATTGACCTTCTTTAGCCTTTGGATCCCATTTTCTTTTGTTTCTGGTCAGGGGAAGCCCTTTCCCAGCAATCATTGATTTGTTTGGAGGCATGGAGTGGGGGTTTAGGTGAACTTGGTGCCAGTGTTTTAGCTGCCCATGGCTTCGCAGTGCTGGCATTAGCCTACTTTGCTTATGAAGACCTTCCTGACCGCCTGCTGAAATAGATTTGGAATATTTTGAGGACGTTGCCAACTTTCTACTGGCTCATCCCAAGGTATTTAAAGTACTTGTTTTCTCTTGCAACATTACAAGAAGCAAAAATCACAAGGGTCTGCTCCCATTTATCAACCTGTGAAGACTTGGGCATAACACAGCTTGAATTTAAATAAGAATGATCACATATGTCTGGTAGGATTGTTGAGTTGATTAGTAATTAGTATGTACTGGTACATAGAAGGCAATAACCTAGTGCTCATGTGATAATTCTTTGAGAGAGAGAGAGAGAGAGAGAGAGAGAGAGAGAGAGAGAGAGAGAGAGAATCAACCAGGATTCCTTACATTTGAAATGCTTGTCACTTATTTGTCAGTGGCTCTTCAATTCCAGGCACAGATTCAAATAATAAGCTTGACTTCAGTGATTGTCTCTGCCTGGGGTAATGCCAGTATAAATTGCACTAAAAAACCATGAGATTTAACAACAATGCACAAGCTCATTATTGGCAATGAGGCACAGGTCATCCATAATCTAATTCTTTAGTAAAGTTTCAGAGCTCAGAGATGGACCCAAACTTAAAGTAAGTATCTACTAACAGCACCAGAGAAGAGAAAGGAATGTGAAAAGGCAGAGCTGCTTTACTTATTTTTTTTTGTCAATCATGGGGATTGAACTCAGGACTTGGGTGCAGTCTCTGAGCTCTTTTGCTCAAGGCGAGTGCTCTACCACCTTGAGCCACAATTCCCCTTCTGGTTTCTGGTGGTTAATTAGAGACAAGAGTCTCACAGTCCTGCTTGCACAGGCTGGCTTACAACTGCAATCCACAGATCTGAGCCTCCTGAGCAGCTAGGGTTACAGGCATGAGCCACCATGCTCATCTTAATTTATTCTTTAAAGACTCATTTAATTATTTAGGTCAGAGGGAGAAAGCCAATTGAAAAAAAATTAATATTGGAGTTAATCAAGCACATGAGTTTTAATTTCTACCTCTGTCCTAGATACTATTGTGGCATTAGGTACGTCTTCCACTTCCTACGCCTCATTTTTCCCACCAAGAAGACAATGAGGCCCACCTGTACAGCACTTAGCTGTGGCAAACTCTCCCTAAGTCCATGGGCTATCTTTGGCTATCTGGTACTTTCCCTTTCTCTTCTCACACATTCTCAACTCCTCCCAAAAGTTTTGAGTTCTACTCTCAGATCGTTTTCAATCTAGGGCATGTCTAGCCTCTCTGCTGTTACTATTTTATTTTTGCATAATTTTTTTATTATCTTAAGCAGTACGGAAGAGTAGCCACCCAACAAAGCAGTTTATGAATACGGTGCATCTCGGTCTGTGACACCCCCTTTCAGCATCCTCGCCCACCTTTCTCAACTCACCCCTTCCTTCATTTTTCTTAAGTGTCAGGTTATAGATTGAATTTGGTTTTGCCATTAACCAAGCAGTTTATGTATGCGACACATCCTGATCTGTGTCATCCTTTCAATGTCTTTGACCCACTCCTTCCCTTGTTTTTCTCCACTCTGTGGCATTCTCTCCTCTTCCCCTCTTCATTCTTCTGCCCCTTTCCCCTCGGCCAGCCATATTTTAGTTCCCCAGCATTACTTATCAACGGCACTGCAGCAGTGCATTCATCGCTCTTCCTCCCTTGCTTCCTCCTCTGTTCTTTTTTACTTTCTTTTTTTTTTTCAGGAAGTAATGAAATTTGATCTCAGGGCCCTGCATTTGTTAGACCAGTGCTCTGATACTTGTGCTGTCCCTCAGCATTCTTCCCCTTTCTTTGCTTTCTTCCTTTCTTTTTCTTTCCAGATAAGATCTTGCACTTTTTTCCCCCCTGGGCCAGCCTCTGCCTACATACCTCCTATCGATATCTCTCTTGTATTATAGATACATCTTCACCATGCCCAGCTTGCTTATGGATGTATAGACTTGCTAACTTTTTGGCCTCAAAGTGTTCTTCTCCTGGTCTCCACTCCTGAGTGACAGGGATTGCAAATGTAAACCCCCCCCCCCCCACCTATTCTTCACATGGAGAAGAATAGATTTGGATGACTTCCAAGTGTAGACACGTACTGGATTTCTTTGAGGATATTTTACAGTATACCTTGACCTACGCAGATCAGTTGAAGCAACACTTGAGAGGTTGGATTGCTTTTCTCCTATGAAAATAATGACAAAAAAGTAGCTCAGTATATGGTTTCAAGCAAAATAAACAACCTAGGTCTCTGTGTTTGCGGTTGTTTGTCCTTCCTGTCCCTACTCACCTGTCAGTCTTCTTCCCTCTCCTGTGCATCTTTTAGTCTACTTGAGAATGAAGATTCCTATTACTACTGCCAACCTATTCCTAGTGGGATGCAGCTGTTTAATGGGGTTCACTCCCAGTACTAGCAGAATTAGATATTGGATTAATGAAGGGTAATACATACACAAATCTTCATGGTGGTTAAAAAAGTACTAGGTAAATGGGAATTGCACACATAGTATTTCAGGGAACTGAGCCAACATCATTGCAGTTGTTGGTATTGTTTTGTTTTGTTTTGAGATGAAAAAACAGACTTGATTCTTTGAAAAGCTTTTCTGATGCCCACTGTCGCAGGTCTCTGATTGCATGTATAGATCTCTCTCTTTTTTTTTTTTTCCTTTTGGTGAAGGTAGTATGGTTTGAACTCAGGGACTCCCTTGTAAGGCAAGGTTTCTTACCATTTGTAAGGGTGGCTGAAAGGAAACTCCCACACGATTCAGGAGGAAGAGAGTTTATTAGAAGAGAGAAAAAGAGAAACCAAACTGCTGGCCCCTAGGAATTGGAGGCGAGTGAAGCAATAGAGTTTATGTCCAGAGGAGAGAGATTATATAGGGGAGAGCGAGGAAGAGGTATGGCCCCAGCTGATGAAGAGGTGACCTCAGAGAATGGGAAAGTACCTCAGAGCCTGGGGGTCCTCCCCCTGCTTCCAGACATGCCAGTTGCCTTGGTTACGGGTGGTAGGTGGGGACTTCTAGGCTGCACAGGGTAGAGAACCAAGGAAAGAGGCTGTGTCTCCCAGGTGCGATCTAACATCCGTGAGCCATGATAACAGCTAGAATTCTACTTAGGTAAGTTTTTGTTTTTATTGCTTCCTTTGAATCTTCATAACAACCCTGCAGATGTATAGAGAAGGCAAGTAGGTAAAGCTCTCCGTTGGAGAAGCTGATAAACCTGCGGTTAAAAACTCGATCATGTTTTGTTCTTTGTTTTTAATTTCTTTGTTTGCACAGATATGTGTGTGTATACTTGAATTCTTTTTAATTTTTATTATTTCTTTGTTTTGGGTTCTGTAATTGATTCTTCTCATCAGTCCAGGTGACCGGCCTTCAGCACAACAGCTTCTCAGAGTACAGGCTGTAATGGCTTCCCTCTGTTTTGTGCTTCAGATCCAGAGCACAGGGATTGTAGTGATCTCCGTGAGCAAAGGTGCAGAGATCGGGCTGGCATGGCCTGCTACCTGAAGCAGGTGGTGGCTACGATCTGCATCAATGGGCCCAGCGTTGTCTGTGACTTTCCACTCAGGTACCGGGGTCTGGTTGTGGCCCCCATCCCCTCAGCTCTAGAACGCATACAGGTCCTCAGCTCTAGAACGCATACAGGCCCACATCTCTGGGGCTGTGTGCCTGCGCCACATTAAAGGAGATCGTCAGAAAGAGCTTGCTTCCAGGGGAAAAGGCCCAAGGATGGATCCTCTATCTTAGGAGAGAATGACCAACGCATTGAGGGTAGAGCACATGCAGAGCAGGCCATGGACCAGCTGAAGAGCCCCAGGAAGAGCAATGGAAGGATGCTGATCTACCCTGGGGCGGGCCATCTCATAGCACCGCCCTATTCTCCCTTGTGCTTTGCCTCCTGGAACCCAGGCTTCTCCTCAGTCTTGCTCTGGGGAGGGGATCCTGTGGCACATGCTACAGCCCAGGAGCACTCCTGGGGAGAGAGTCAGAAATTCTTCAGGCAACACCTCACTGAGACCATAAGCAAACTCTACGCAAAGTTTGTGTGATGAAAGCATGGGGAGAAGAGGAGGAAAGATGTACTCATTACCTTGCTCATGTAACTATAACCCCTCTGTACAGTATTTTTCACAATAAACTTATTAAAAATAAAAAATTATTGCATGTTTATCAGGTATAATATATATATGTAAAACTTGCAGAATGATTATATCAAGCTAATTAGCATCAACCATTTCATATGTTTATTTTTTGGTAATGGGAACATTTTAAATCTCTTCCTTTCGTAATGTTGAGATATAAATACATTTCTATTGACAATGGTCACTGTGCTCTCCATAGAATTCCCTAGAGATCTTCTAGTCCCCCTGACACTTTGTAGCTTTGTACTGTTTGGTCAACCTCACCACACCCTCCACCTCAGTCCCCAGGTCCCCTTCTCCACCAGAGTAATTTGAATATGGACTGGATTTTAAGTCACACTAACTAAGAAATGGATATGATCTTGTTAGGTGTGGAAATAATTTTGTATTTATACTTTTTTGTTGTTGTTGTTGATTGTGGGGCTTGAACTCTGGGCCTGGGCACTGTCCCTCAGCTCTTCAGCTCAAGGCAAGTGCTCTACCAATTGAGCCACAGCGCCATTTCCAATTTTGTATTTATATTTAAAAAGGGGTCTGTTGAGATACATATTGAAATATTTGACAATAACTGGTCTTAATACCTGGGAGTCTTTTAAAATACAGGTATATGCTGGGAAGGTGGCTCAATGGTAGAGTGCTTGCCTTGCATGCATGAGGCCCTGGGTTCAATTCCTCAGCACTCCATAAGCAAAAAGAAAAAAGCCAGAAGTGGTGCTGTGGCTCAAGTAGTAGAGCGCTAGCCTTGAGCTGAAGAGCTGAGGGACAGCACCCAGGCCCAGAGTTCAGGCCCCACGACTAGACCCCCCCACCCCCACAAAAAAAAAAAAGAGAAGAGGAATATGGCAAAAACCATGCCTAGAGTTTATATAGTCAGCAAGATCTCTTACAATATTCTCTGCTTTTATGTGGGCCTGCCCTTTTTCAAAGTGGAAAATTTTAAAAAGAGATACTGCCAGGCATTAGTGGCTAGCAAAAATCCTAAAGTGGAGGTGTAGCTCAAATGGTAGAACACCAGCTTTGAGTGAAAAAGCCAAGCAAGAACACAAGGCCTTGAGGTTAAGCCCCACAATCAGCATGAGAGAAAGAAATAGAAGCAGAAAGACAGAGACAGGGATTGATTCCTGATCACACCTACATTCTCTTTAAAACTACATTCAAAGCACTATGCATTACATGTTTTGTGCTTGTCCATCTTTTTTTTTTTGGAGTGAGGTGGGGGGGTGGGGGTGGGGGAATGGGGAGGGAGGAGATGGGAAGAGATGGGAAGGAGAAACAAAGGAGGAGGCAACAATGCTTGCTAAGAAATGTACTCATTACTTTGCCCATGTAATTGTAAACCCTCTGTACAGTATTTTCACAATAAAAAAAAAGAAAAAAAGTCAAGAAATGGACCTAAAACCTGAAAAAAATACTGATGAAAAACAGGGCAAGTAATCCAGCTTTGTCTCAGCCTAGCAAGTATGAGGCATTGAGTCAAAACATAAATCTCAGAGGCTTAGAAAACACCTTTATAAATATAGCTTAAACATTATTTTCATTATTGTCCACCTTTTTTAAAATAAGTTTTTTATTGTGAAAATACTGTACGGAGGGGTTACAGTTATGAGCAAGGTAATGAGTACATTTCTTATCCAGCATTGTTACCTCCTCCATTGTTTTCCCCTTCCCATCTCGTCCCTCCCACCTCCTCAAATACACCCTGCTACCCCACCCCCTGCCTAAATTGTAAAGGTTGTTTTTCGACATAACATCTTGTACATCTCATTGTTGCAATGGGTCCACCTGTATCCCTGTTTAAACAATTTGTTTTTTCCTTCCCTTCCCCAAATTATACCAACATCAAATACAGTGAAAGCAGGGGTTACACCATGGGAGAGGGACATACAAAGCAACCAAAAAAATCACGTGGTACCTTATAAATGCATTAGAAACAACAGTAAGGAAGAAAAAATAACCACTTGTGTCCCTATCTTGGGATTCATTTCACTTAACATCATCTATCTGACCTATTCTGTTTGTCTCAGACATATACTAGTTATTGCAAATAAGGGAAACCATGGAACCTTTGACTACCTTTTTCTCCAACTATCAGCCTTTTAAGGGTAGAAAGCTGATCTACATTTGTGCATATTTCTTGTTAGGCTGGGCACCGGTGGCTCATGCCTGTAATCCTAGCTACTCAGGAAACTGAGATCTTAGGATCACGGTTCAAAGCCAGCCCAGGCAGGAAAGTCCGTTCTTATCTGCAATAAACCACTAGAAAACCGGAAGTGGCACTGTGGCTCAAGCAGTAGAGCGCTCACCTTGAGCTGAAGGTCACAGGGACAGTGCCCAAGCCCAGAGTTCAAGCCCCACGACCGACAAAAAAACAAAAAACAGAATAATTGTTAGTACATTATAGATGCTCATTATATACTTATGAAGGAATCAGTTAATTAATCCTGGTACATTCTGGCTCAAGAGCGAGGATGTGATCAGTTTTGTGTTTATTTGTGTTTATTACAGACTTGTCATGGAAGGATAAGAAATGACTGTAAGTGACACATTAGTTCTATTACACATCGTGAATTGAGCAGGCAGGAGTGCTATCACAGCTGTGGTATAATCTCCTTAACATAAAGTTGGAGAGTTCAAGCACTTCCTGTATGTACCTACAGGATATTCAAACACCTTGGATTCTTGCAATTGCAGTCAATAGGGAGACCAGACAATTTTTTGAAGCTGTGATAACCTCCTACAGTTTTTCACCCCAAATTACCTACTGGTCTTATTCAAAAATACCCACTCTCTTTTAAGTACAAGATTATGGCTATTTGCATTCTCTGATTTTAGAAGAGCTATCCACCATCTTTTCTTTCCCCTTTCCCTTTCCCTTCCCTTCTTTTGCTCCTTTCTTTCCTCCTTCCCTCCCTCTCTTTCTCTTTCTCTTCCTCCTTCCTATATTAGAATTTGAACTCAGGGCTTTATGCCAAGCATTTGTGCCACATTTCCAGTACTTAGTTGTTTTTATCCCCCAGAATATCTCATGCTAACTGTGTTTTGGCTGCCCTTAATGGACAAACCTATTTCAGCCTTCTAAGCAGCTGGAATTATAGAGCAGAGACACAGCTTCTGGCTTATCTACAACTCTTCTGTCTATTGAAACCTAATAGGGTGATCTTTAGAACTTACCAGAAGAGGCACTTACATTTTCATATCTGCTGAGTGAAATTTCTTCCCCATTATTATCTCGGTATCTAAATGTTTGTCTTTCTGTTCCTAAAGTCCCTATGATTATAATTCTTATTTCCATATGAGTCATGGTCTCCATTTGGCCAAGTTAAGAAAAAGTCTGGCATGCATCTATTGGACAAATATTTTAACAGTGTTCCCTGCATCAAGCCCTGTTATGGGCATGTAATCAAAGAAATGGAAGATGTCATAGATAACTACAAGGATAACTGTTGGGGGAACTTGTCAGGTTTTGTATGTCAACACACTTTTATTAGATTTTGTTTCTTTCCAATATCCTCTGACAGTGAGTCACATTTTCTTAGTCTCCTCTGGGCTTTCCTTAAAAGAGGAAAAGTGGCAGCAAAGCTCATCACAGAATTCATTCTCTCTTAAGCTAGAAGGACCAGTTGTCTCATTTGGCTGGATGACTTTGTCCTTGGCAGAAGACCTAAGCAGATGAGTCTCCAGGCTGAAGAAATGAATCTCATGTGATTGACATGAAAGATGAACGTTAGTGTGACACCTATAAAGTGTCATGGAGTAAATAAAGGCAACACTAAGTCTAGCATGGCACAATGGCTCAGGGATGCAGGAGTGCAAGCCTGCAGACAAAAACCTTCATTCCTTAGTGGCATCTTATAAAGCATGGCTGTCCATGCACCTGCCTTCCAAGTCTACAGCCAGAACTCTGAAACACTGTACACAGAACTCTCTGGAATCAAAACTAGAAAGAAGTATGGGAGGACAATGTAATTTATTGTAAATTAGTGTTTTATCTTTGGAATTTTTATCTTTGGAAATATAATCTAGTGGTCAAATACATCAGTGTCGTCTTAGTGTGACAAGAAATGAATGATATAGTCTGCCTTCATTTTTTCAGATATCTTATGAACAATCAAATAAAAATAAGTCTTCATTGCTTTTTTTTTGTTTTTGTTTTTGTCAGTCATGGGGGTGCTGTTCCGCAGCTCTTCAGCTTAAGGCTAGTGCTCTACCACTTGAGCCACAGTGCCACTTCTGGCTTTCTGAGTAGTTTATTGAAGATAAGAGTCTCATGGACTTTTCCTGCCCGGGCTGGTTTTGAACCGTGATCCTCAGATCTCAGCCTCCTGAGTAGTGAGGATTACAGCGCCTGGCTTCATTGCTTTTCTTTTTAATTAAAAAAATTTTAAAGCATGTTTAGGAAAAAAAATCATCCTAAAGTTAGATAGCATTATACCTAGGTAGTTTATACAAGATTAGAGACCCCAGAGGTTTCAAACTATTATTATTATTATTGACTAATTATTTATTTTGAAGTCCTTGGGTTTGATCTCAGGGCTTTGTGCTTGCTAGGCAATCGCTCTGCCAATTTACCCTTCCCACCCCCAGTACTTTTCTGTTTTAGTTATTTTTCAGAAGGCCTCACATTTTTGTCTGAGCAGTCCTACTTATGTCTCCTACCTAGCCAGGATAACAGATTATATACTACCAGACCAAGAGTGTTGTCTGAGTTGAGTTCTCACTAACATTTTGTCTGGGCTGGCTTCCAATTAGTGTTTACAGTCTCTATCTTCTGTGTAGCTGGAGTTATAGGCATGAGTCACACTGCTCAGCCACAAGTTATTCTTTCTCATTATTTCCTTGTTCTCTTCACCACAGTCCTCTGAGCTAGCTAAGTTGGTTAATTTCTAAAAAAAAAATCCTGTGAAAAGATGCAGACACAGTTCAAAAGCATCTGGATGCAAAAGAAAAAGCCAGAAATGGGAGTGACACA